TGCCTGCCTCCAGGATTGCAGCACTATTAGTGTTCCCAGAGGTCCTGAACCCTTTTATTTTCTGCCCGCTGCCTGCCTGAAACAACATTAGCAGGCCCCAGAAGATTCTTCTCCTGTCAGTTACAGAGGGAGAAGAACTTGAAGCCTTCTGGTATGCATCAGGGCCAGTGCAGGCAGACAAGGAAAATTAACAGGCTCAGCAGCTCTGGGGATACAAACAGCAGAGCCATATGCACAGTGCACTAGGGAGGAGAGCTGATTCTATATTTTTTAAAAAGGGCTTTCCATAGTAGAAGAGCATGGTGTCAATGATAAGGGAAGAAGGGCGGGTAGAGATTTTCAAGGGAAGGGGTGAAGGGAAAGGAATTATTCCAGGTGTTGATTCACTTGCCGTTGCTATTTACACAGTTAGGTAATTGTTTTATTTTGGATTCTCATGTGTGTAATGGTGGTTATGGGAGGGGAAGGTTCTAGATTTTTCACTCTAATGCTCACAGGCTTTTTTCATCACCAGAATGTTGACCTCCTGATGATCTGTCCACCTTTCCCGAAGTTATTACTTGTTAAGCTTAACCACTATAGCTACGTATGTCACTTTTAAACCAAAAAGATGACAGGTCCCTGTTCTGAGGTCCTTACAATCCAAACTGGACACAACAAGGCAAGGGATGACCATAAACAAAAGTTGGGAAGGAGGTACCAGAGGCCGAGGGAGACAGGAGTGACCAATCTCAAGGTGCATGTATTGTTATGTTATGCATGCATGTTGTAAGATCCTCTTTTTAAAGAATACATGCTTTAAAATTGGAGGACAGTTAGGCAAGGCCAGGCTGGTGGTCAGTGATAATTTTTTAACCGAAAGCAGCAAGTATTGAGGAGGCCTCTGTCAAGTCAAATTGTGTAGTGCACAATGTTGGAGAGGATGTTCCTGGCAAACCAAAGGGGTGGCATGAAAAAAGGCATACAGCTACTAGTAGGAAAAAACAACGAGCATCAAGATGAACTAGCACAGGGCATGTGGAGTGAATAAGAGATGATTAGAGACAGAATGCAGACATTAAAAACTGTGCAGGGTCTTGAAGCGGAAGAGCTTGAATATTGTACTTCTGAATATTACTGTAATTGGTGGTTTAGAAATGCCAAAAACAGTGGATTATAGATATATATACACCGAAGGAGGTAGGAAGCTATTATGGGCATTCAAAGAGAGGATTTATATGGTTGGAGCAGCAGCAAATAATTTTGGTTGTAGTATGTTGGATGGACTTCAAAAATCAGAGATGAAAATAAGAGAGACCAGAAAAGAGGATGTTTCAATAGTCACAGTGAGAGACTGTTGAGGCATGGGCAAAGGTTCTGGCACTAGTGAAGAAGGGACAAATTTTGGAGATATTTAAAAAATGTAATTCTAAAAGGCACCATTTTAAAAATAATTTCAGTGGAAGATTCCTTTAGGCAACTCCTATATCCTGTGTACAGTAATATATGAAGAAATAGATAAACTCATAAATTAAAAAAGCATAAGATGGAACTGTTCAAAAGTCATGGAAGGATAAGGAGGAAGCCTTTTTTCCACCCTCAGTGGTTTTTAATGATGCCCTTTATTCATTAAATGATAATCTAATAGATCATTGCACTGAGCTCTGAAATATATCAGAGATAAGGATGCAATACTGTAACCATGGATGGATATTGAAAATATTATTCCTTATCTAAGAAAGGTAACTATTTTTGCATGTATTTTAACTATTCCACTACTGTTTAGGGAAAACAATACAAAATAATTTGGATCCAATTTTGGAGGGAAAAATCAGAATGCTCATTAGAAATTATTCTATTCTAGCTTCACTTGGAAAAAATAATCGCATCTTGTGGTTTGGCATAGTGTGTACCAAGGAATTAAAAGAAATAGTCCCTGATTCTGCAAAAATATTTGCTCGTACATTACTTTACACACTGTGAGTACTCCCACAGAATCAATAGGACTATTCACAATGCATAAAATTAAGTAGGTACATAAGTTTTGCAGGATAGGATCTGAAAGTATGCTAGATTCTGTAGAAGCAATTGCGTAATATTAGATAGTTAGTTTAACATTTTCTATGTCATAAAAGGTAATTAGTTATGTATTTTAAAAAGTCTCACAAAAGTCAGTCTTAGCAAAAGACAGCATGTACCGTAGTTCAAGAATTATAGTTTATTTCTGTCATCTGATACATCACTGAGCCATTGCACTTTCCACAGGACCTGTGTCCTGTATGCTGTATGTGAAGCTAAATATTTTCCAGTAGTCAATGCAGCATCTTTACATTTCTTTGGAAGAAGGTTAAACTTTCAAACAATGTTAATTTCATTTTAACACTAAAGATTGCAGCCACCATTTTTCTGCCTGGCCACACTGGTTTATATTCTGCTACTGATCCACACATAGGACACTACATGAAATCAGTGTGGAGTTCTATGTAAAAAAATTCAACCACAGTACATGACCCAGGTCTGTAATCCCCTATGGCAACTAGCTCTCCTATTTTACATATCTAGCTCCTTTGGCCTCAGGTCTGTCCACATTCTCTAGATAAACACCATAGTTTTTAAGACTCTTTCTTCATCGAAATGTATCCCTAATAAACTGTTCTGTTGCAATAAAGATGCCAACTTTTTAGCAATGGATAGGAAAGAAAAGCCTTTAGAATTTGAAATGGAAACATCTGGTGTCACTTGCAGACATATATGAAAAAAACAGATATTGGATTTCAGTGGAAATCAATTTTTATTTTTGTCTGCAAAGCACTATGCATGCCTAAGGCACCATATGAATAAATAATAATAAACAAATAGGGCAGTAAATGTACTCACTATCCCCATCAGTGACTATACTAAGCATATAAAGAAAAACAATTGCATGCCAACATATTCTTACTCTCCAAACACGTTACACACACAGGATCTGATTCTCCAATCATTAACACAAACTTCACATATGTCAATGGAGTTATTCTTAATTTACCCTGAGGTTAAATGAGAGGAAAATCAGGCCAGACATCTCTGTTTGGCGCTGGTACCTGAACAGAAGCTGTTGCTGCTGATGGTCCTTGCTGAGCCTCCAGAAGAGCTGCGGGGGTTGAACTCTCTACTCTCCTCCTCTGAGAAGGGTGACTCGGAGGCTGGGGACACTTTCTGTTGTTGCTGTTGCTGCTGGGATACATAAGGCCGAAGGAGCAGGCGAGGGATGCGGCTGCGGGAGATCTCCTTCTCCTGCTGCAGTTTCTGCTCCTACTCAAAAACAACAAGGTGGACATAACAAGACACGATCTACGTAAGTATCATTCCCTGCTGTGTAACTCCTAATCATCAACACCCTCCCAAATACCCCAGGAGTAAACTCCTACCCACAAGCTGCCCCCAAATGCCCCAGGACTAACCTCTTCCACACAACTCCCCCACAAATGCCCCAGTGTAACCTCTTCCACATAAGCACCCATCATCCCAAGTACCCCAGGAATAACCCATCCCAACTCACATTTGAGCTCCCCTCCTTACACATATATTGATGGAGATTCCTTTATGGGGAAGGCTCAGGGGGAGATGACAGATGCATCTGTCTCTTCAGAGACAACAGAGGGGGGGCACGATAACAATTTTCAAATGCATAAAAGGTTGTTACAAAGAGGAGGGTGAAAAATTGTTCTCTTTAACCTCTGTGGATAGGACAAGCAGCAACAGGCTTAAATTGCAGCAAAGGAGATTTAGGTTGGACAAAAACTGCCTAACTATCAGGGTAGTAATCACTGGAATAAATTGCCTAGAGAGGTTGTGGAATCTCCAACAGTGGAGGTTTTTAAGAACAGGTTAGACAAACATCTGTCAGGAATGATCTACTTATTACTTAGTCCTCCCTTGAGTGCAGAGGACTGGCCTAGATGACCTACTGAGGTCCCTTCCAGTCCTACACTTCTGTGATTCTATGACTCAGCCCATTTCACCCAGTGATGGTAGCAGTAATTTCTCCTCCTCCTGCTCTCTGCACAGCAGGTGTGGTGGAAGGTGACCCCAAATGAATACCGCCTGTCTGGCCTTTGCTGATGGAATCAAGGGCCTGGATACCATCTCTCCAGCGCTACTCCCGACTCAGGGCCCCCTAGCCGTCCCCCCCCCGCCCCCCACCCCCCCCCCCCCTGCCAGCCCCGACCCCCCTCCTCAGAGCCCCCTGCCGGTCCTGACCCCTCGCCAGCCTCGATCCCCCCTCCTCAGAGCGCCACCGCCCCTGCCAGCCCTGATCTCCCCTCCCCGCAGCCTCCTGCCAGCCCCGATCCTCCGTCCCTGCTCCTCAGAGACCCACCGCCCCTGTCAGCCCTGATCTCCCCTCCACACAGCCTCCTGCCTGCCCCGATCCCTCCTCCTCTGACCCCTCGCCCCTGCCTGCCCCGATCCCCCCTCCTCTGACACCCCGTCCCTGCCTGTCCCGATCCCCCATCACCCCTCCTCAGCCCCCCCGCCAACCCCGATCTCCCCTTCCTGTCAGACCCGATCTCCCCTTCCTCAGACCCCCCGATCCAATCCCCGTCCCGCCAGCCCGTTCCCGCCGCCTGCGCGTCTCCCCCCGCACCTGTACTCCTGTCACCCGCGGTCCGTCTCCCGGGACTCGCCACCTGCGGCCAAAGGGCTCCGGGGCCGCCTCGCCGGCCCTGCTCACCTTGCTGCCCTCGCGGAGCGGTCCCATCCCGCCTCAGTCGGGCGCGGCCCGGGGGCACCTGGCTGGGAGAGAGCGGACAGGAGACGCGCTGAGCAAGGGCTGCCGGAGGGACCCGTCGCTCTCCGCTCCGCCAGGAGTGCCGAGCCCAGCCCAGCCCAGCCCGCTGCTCCCCCGCCCCGACACGTGGTGCCGCCGCCGCCGCAGCCAGGCTCTGCAGCCGCCTGACGGGCTGGCCCGCTCCCTGCTGCCCGGGGCGCTCCGGTGCAGCCTGTGGGCAGGGCTCGAGTTCTGTCACCGAGCCCAGGGAGCGACACCCCGGGCCGTGGGGCCCCGGCTCTGCCATTGCCGGCCAGGTGCAGCCTCCTGCCGCTCCGGCGCCTGGAAGCTCAGCGCCCCGCCGCCCCTGCGGAGCCAGGCCAGCGCGGCCTCTGGGCTGGGAGAGGTCAGCGCCGACACCGGCAGCCTCCGGTGGGTGGTTGGCAGCAGGCGCCTCTCCCGGCAGTAGCTGCAGGCAAGGAAGGCCGGAGTTAGTTACAATTAACCGTCCCCGCGTTTGCCGCTAGGAAGGAAGCTAAGGGGCAGGAGGGGGGAGTTGCCACTTCATCTTTAAGCAACACATTGAAAGGTACCTAAAATTGTTGTATTGTGTCTCTCCTCCATGCTTCATGCCTGTTGCCCCAGGCCCCAGCTTTACTCCGCTGAGTGGGACTACTCGATTGAGTAACAGTTTTTCTAGGATCGGAGTGTCAGCCTTATGTTGATCTAGGCGGGGGAGGAAGCTCTGGAGCCTCTGCCTAGGGAGCTGTCTATTGGGGCTGGTCTGTTTACAGGATCAGTGCCCCTTACATTGTAAAATTCTTAGGGGAGGATTTTGTTTTCACAGACTGTGCCCAATACAATGGGACACCAATTCTGATTGGGATTTCTGGGTGCTGCTGTAATATAAATATTAAATAACAGTGAGTGTTTAAAAATAGCTGTTCAGAAATCAGCCCTTTTGTGGAGCTCTGGGAACCATGTAGGCAGAGTGAAAGGAGAGGTGCTTCTCAAAACCTGCAGGAGCAAACATTGTACCTTCTACTTTGCACCAATAGAAGTTGTCAGGCTAGTTGTTAAATACACAAACAATTAGATTACTAATGTATTAACCTAATAGTGGGATTAGATCCACATCTTCTCCATTGCTCCAAACTGTGCTCTGCCAATTAAAATCAAGCCAGCCCGTGCCTGACATTGCCAATATTCTCTTTCAGATCAGCCCTGTAAATCACAGATGTGAGGGGGTCATTATATTTATAAAGTACTTTGAAATCCTTGGATGAAAGGTGCAGTATACTTGGAAAATATTACACAAGTGTATTTATTGAAATATACATTCATAGGCAGCCAGGCAGAAACACATCAGGAAATGTCCCAGATATCCACCTCTTGCAGTGACACCAGAGTCCCCATTGAAAATGCAAGACTGCAACCTTACACCTAAACCACAGAAATAGAAATTCAGTCCTCCATCCCACTAGAAAATGTGTTCCTCTTGTGTGTTTCTCTAGTGAGCTATACATGGCATGTGTGCATAGATATCCCATATGCGCCAGCAAAGCTGTTGCAGCAATAGAAACAGCAGATTAAGCTGTGCAGCATTGCCATCACCATAGCAACTCAGCTAAGGAAAAGATGATTTAATATTCAGTCACAGCCCTCTCCATAGCTTTCCATTTGGAGCTTGAATCAGTTGCCTGCCTGATGTTCTAAGGAACAAATTATATACAAAATGAAGTCTTCATGCTGCCTTAAGATTCCTAAGTATATATCCCCTTTTATCTCTTTGGGATATTTTTGCATAAAAATTTCCAGGGTAACATTAAAGTGATGAAACAGTCATTAATGTTCTAGCAAACATTTTATTCCCAACACTCCATATATATGGGAATAATTCCAAGGATTTAAAGTCATATCTTTGTTCAAATAATATTAACTGTCCATTAGATCATCATCATCATGAAGACGGGAGAGATTCCATAGGACTGGAAAAGGGCAAATATAGTGCCAATCTATAAAAAAGGGAAATAAGGACAATTTGGGGAATTACAGACCAGTCAGTTTAACTTCAGTACCCAGAAAAGATAATGGAGCAAATAATTAAGCAATCAGTTTGCAAACACTTAGAAGATAATAAGGTAATAAGTAACAGTCAGCATGGATTTGTCAAGAACAAATCATATCAAACCAACCTAATAGCTTTCTTTGGCAGGGTAACAAGTCTTGTGAAGAGGGGAAAAGTGGTCCATTGGTATACCTTGACTTTAGTAAGGCTTTTGATACTGTCTCACATGGCCTTCTCATAAACAAATTAGGGGAATGCAACCTAGATGGAGCCACTGAAAGGAGGGTGCATAACTCGTTGAAAAAACGTTCACAGAGAGTAGTCAAGCTGGAAGGGCATATCAAGTATCCTGCAGGGATCAGTTCTGGGTCCTGTTCTGTTCAATATCTTCATCAATGATTTGGATGATGGCATAGAGCAGTGGTTCTCAACCTTTCCAGACTACTGTACCCCTTTCAGGAGTCTGATTTGTTTTGTGTACCCCAAGTTTCACCTCGCTTAAAAACTACTTGCTTACAAAATCAGACATAAAAATACAAAAGTGTCACAGCACACTATTACTGAAAAATTGCTTACTTTCTCATTTGTCTAAATTACATTTTAGTTTGTACTGACTTCGCTAGTGCTTTTTATGTAGACTGTTGTAAAACTAGGCAAATATCTAGATAAGCTGATTACCCCCTGGAAGACTTCTGCGTACCCTCTGCAGTATGCGTTCTCCTGGTTGAGAACCACTGGCATAGAGGGTACACTTATAAAGTTTGCAGACAATACCAAACTGGGAAGGGTGGCAAGTGCTTTGGAGAATAGGATTAAAATTCAAAATGATCTGGACAAACTGGAGAAATGGTCTGAAGTAAATAGGATGAAATTCAATAAGGACAAATGTAAAGTACTCCACTTAGGAAGGAACAATCAGTTGCACACATACAAAATGGGAAATGACTGCCTAGGAAGGAGTACTGCAGAAAGGGATCTGGGGGTCATAGTAGATCACAAGCTAAATATGAATCAACAGTGTAACTCTGGTGTGAAAAAAGCAAACATCATTCTGGGATGTATTAGCAGGAGTGTTGTAAGCAAGACACAAGAAGTAATTCTTCTGTTCTGCTCTGCACTGATTAGGCCTCATCTGAAGTATTGTGTCCAGTTCTGGGTGCCACATTTCAGGAAAGATGTGGACTAATTGGAGAAAGTCCAGAGAAGAGCAACAAAAATGATTAAAGGTCTAGAAACCATGACCTATGAGGGAATATTGAAAAAGATTAGTGTGATTAGTCTGGAAAAGAGAAGACGGAGAGGGCACATGATAACAGCTTTCAAATACATGAAAGCTTGTTACAAGGAGAAGGGGAAAATTGTTCTCCTTAACCTCAGAGGATAGGACAAGAAGCAATAGGCTTAAGTTGCAGCAAGGGCGGTTTAGGTTGGACATTAGAAAAAACTTCCTAACTGTCAGGGTAGTTAAGCACTGGAATAAATTGCCTAGGGAGGTTGTGGAATCTCCATCATTGGAGATTTTTAAGAGCAGGTTAGACAAACACCTGTCAGGGATTGTCTAGATAATACTTAGTCCTGCCATGAGTGCAGGGGACTGGACTAGATAATCTCTTGAGAAGTTCCAGTCCTACGATTCTATGATTATTTCCAGATCCTCTGTTGAATTATTTTGCTTTTTCTCCCTCATTTGATAATTTTAACAAATTTAGTTTGTTTTCCTGACCAAAGAAACATTTTAAAACAAATCACTTTTAAAAATATTGACATACTATTGCTACAAATACCACTTTTGATAACTGTAACTGAGATGAGACAAAAAAAATCTTTTTTCTGCTTGTTTGCTTTGTGTATTTGAATACACTTTGTGTAATAGGCCCCATACAGCAACAGAGAGAAATCTCTGCAGGTTCATGGTCAGTTTCATTATTTTCTCTGTAGTACAGTAGATCCTCAGAGTTATGAATATCTCAGTAATGGAAGTTGTTCGTATGAACTAGTCAGAAAAACCTCAGCCATATTATGGAAACCTTTATGGTGCTTCCCGTGAAGTTCATTTTAATAGCCCCTCTCTCCATCCATTTGCACATTGGTCCTGCAAATGCTTTTTTCCAAGTATTCCAACTTACTGATCCAGAATGTAATTAATTTGCCCTACAACTCTGTGGACTGCTTAGCACTTGTCAGCAAAATGCAAAAACTCTTTTATGCTGCTTATGAGCCAAATTTGCTCTTGGATGAGCATCTCCCACAGGAGTTGTGTAGCATAAGCAGGATTTGGTCCTGGCATCCTGACAATGAATTATGAAGCAGCTTTCTTTTGCCGGCTTCAGGCCTATGACACTTAAATTTTCTTTTTCCACAAATATGACATAGACCATAACATGAAAAAGAACTACTCAAATGGTGCTGAAATTCATTTTTCAAAACTAGGGAAAGGATGGAAATGAGAAGGATTATGAAAGCACAAAATACAAGTGATCTTAAAACCAAGAAAAAACATTTTAGATTATTTATGAATACTAAGAATAAGTTTATTCATCACGACCTTGGATAGACCAAGACACTCTCTGGTCAAGTGTCAGTAGTGTCTTGGTCTATCCAAGGTCGTGATGAATTGTCTTGATGTTTTTGGTCTTTTGACCTTGGGATAAAAAGAATAAGTTTGTGATCTTAAACGTTTACTTGAAAGTTTGGGGGTCAATGTGTAGGTGATAAACTACAGTGCAAATCATTCAAGAAATGTAAAATAAAAGGTTATTCATTAACTATTCTAATAACATTATGGGACAGGATGTTTTTAAAATAATCAACAAGATCAAACCTTGGAGAAAGAGAAGACTGTAAGCACCTCTGTATTAAAAATATTGGAAAAAAAATATTTTGAATGAAGGCTAGAGATGGGAAATCAATACAAAATGCAGTTGGGTAACTTATCAATAGAGGGCAACAGAAGATTCTATGCACATACACAAAAATGTATGAATGATCTTTTGTGGTTCCTAATTTTGATAGATGGAGATCAGGCACTTTTCCTAACCTGCTCTATAAATATCATCCAGGCTATGTATAACCCAGTTGCTTTTCTAATTGACTTTATTAAAGAAAGCAGCAATAAGATGGTAAAGATCAACTCAAACCTTCTCCCTACGCTTGGCTACTCCTAGAAATCTTCCCTCAAGACTGCGCAGCCCACAACCTTGATCCAGTCTTCCCAAAGAGCCACTCCCTGCACCTCTCTATATCCAGGTTGGATGACAACTAAGCAGAACCCACTGAACCATTTCCCAGAAGACTCAACATATCCTAAAAGGGTGAGTTGTTTCAGGCAAACATTGACAGTCTGTTACAATATGTCTGTGTTCTTTTCTTCAGATAACTACGATTGTAGAGGCACTAAACCTAATAGGAATTCATAAGGATTTTAATATGCATGATATGCTGTCAGGATGAAGTGTTCATTTGGATATGGTAATTATTGAAAATATAATCCACAAGGAGTCAGGATAGAGGCGACATATGGGAGATTTTCTGGTTGTGCCCCCCCACAGCCCAGGCAGGCTGGGTGGCCCGCTGAGATGAGTCAGGGGGTGGAGATGGCACTCTCTCCTCATCCCCGCTGCGTGGCACTGGTCCAACCGAACCCTGCTGCCCTGCCATGCGGAGCTGGCCCGACTGAGCTCCGCTGGCCCGCTGCATGGCGTCGCCACTTGCCCCCTCCGAACGTTACTCTTCCCCTTTAGCGGGGTGCACCCCACAGTTTGAAAACCTCTGTGAGGTGGTCACGTGCCCCCCAGAACTTTAAAATTGTACCCCTTCCCATTATCAAGAGTTACATGTCGCCTCTGAGTCAGGATCATCACTTTTTATTTTTATCCTTCATCATTCATTTCATTTTTGGATGTTAAGGAGAAGGGAAATGAAAGACAATGGGCCAGATCTTGTAAGTAGAACTATGAGTCTGATTGAATTCAGCGGAAGTTTTGCATATAAAGAATAACCCTCAAACACTCATGTAAGTAGCTTTAACCATATGAGAAGTCCTTAATGAGTCTTACTCTCACATGCCTAAGTCTTAACATTATCAGCCCCAGCTTATTAATAATCAAACCTCAAACTTATTTAGAGGAGCCTGGAACAATAATTTGCATTGTCATTATTTAGGAGGACACAATTTTAATAAAAGGACACAGGATTTATCTTCCACCATAATGGCCTGAATCTATGTACAAAGGGGTGGGAATGGCTCCAAGTACTATTATCTGTGAAAAACTAATACAATAAAACAGTAAAAATTTTCCTTCTTTAAAAAAAAATAAAAAATGCCAATGGGCAAACTAAGTACTATATTATGTAACTACACTAAATAATCATTATTTACAGCAGACTTGCAGAGAAGCAGATGGACACTGCAAGGGCTGGGCCCGCTCTGCTCTTTGGTGGGCTCAGGGGACAAAAGCACCTAGCATGCAGATGTGCCCCAGCAGATCCTGCTGGCCAAAAGAATCCAATCTAAGACATATGGGATGCATGTGCAACAAGAGTGCAATCCATGTAGACAATCACTCGAAGAAGAAAAACATCATATATTTTTGCAAAGTCATGTAATTTTTTGTAAGAAGAAAACAAAAAATAAAAATGTCAAAATTGGGATTTACTAATCTTGCATGTGTCTTTTTATCATAAAAACATCGAAAATAAAATAACAAAGCAAGAACAATGTTAAAAAGTTACTTTCTTAAAAATATTTTTCATATCTTGCAGACAGCTTTTTAGCTTAATTATAGTACTAAATTAAGCCCATTGGGATTACTTATGATAGTAAAATTAACAACATGTGTACATGTTTGTAGGATTGGGATCTTAAATTGAACAAAGATAAATGGATAATATATCGGTTTTCATGTACAAATCAATGCATGTAAATATTTCAGTTAACATATCTGTGGCTTCAGAATTTTAAATCATTAGCACTAAACAAGAACAAGAATCTTTCCAAACTCTTATCTTATTTATTCCATATATAGTACAATGTTTATATTTTGGTCATAATTTTATGGGCCTGCTCTAGGGTTGCCAACATTCTAATCGCACAAAACTGAACACCCCTGCTCCTTCCCTTCCCTGAGGCCCCACCGCCCGCTCACTTCATCCCCCCTCCCTCTGTCACTCGCTCTCCCCCACTCTCACTCACTTTGGCCGGGCTGGGGTAGTGGGTTGGGGTGCAGGAGAGGGCTCCAGGCTGGGACAGGCGGTTGGAGTGTGTGTGGGGGGGTATGGGCTCTGGGCTAGGGGTGTGGGCCTTGGGTGATGCCAGAAATGAGGGGTTCGGGAGAGGGCTCTGGGCAGAGGGTTTGGGTCCGGGGGGGTGAGGGCTCTGGCTGGGGGTGCAGGCTCTGGGGTGGGGCCGGGGATGAGGGGTTTGGAGTGCAGGAGGGGGCTCAGAGCTGGAGCAGGGGTTGGGGTGCGGGAGGAGGTGCAGGGTCCCGGCGGCACTTACCCTGGCTCCCAGGAAGTGGCCGCCAGGTCCCTGCGCCCCCTAAGCGGATGGGTGGCCAGGGAGGTTCTGCACGCTGCCCTCGCGCCTGCAGGCGCCGCCCCCACAGCTCCCATTGGTTGCGGTTCCCGGCCAATGGGAGCTGCTTAGCTGGCACTCAGGATGGGGGCAGTGCACGGAGCCTCCCTGGCCACCCATGTGCTTAGGGGCCGGCCAGTTCCGGGAACCTCACGGAACCAGGGCAGGCAGGGAGCCTGCCTTAGTCCCAGGCCTCCGCTGCACCGCTGACTGGACTTTTAATGGCCCGGTCAGCAGTGCTGACCAGAGCCACCAGGGTCCCTTTTTGACCGGGTGTTCTGGTCGAAAAACAGATGCCTGGCAACCTTAGCCTGCTCCAACTTCTATTGAGTTGTACAGAGGATCAGCCTATACAAGCACAGGATCTTATTACCTTTCACTTATGATCTTCCTGCCTTTCTTCCCTCCTATTCTGTGTTACAATCAATTATCTAGTTAGGCCTTGATCCTACAATTGCTTCTACATAGGCAGACTCAGAGCAGATCCAAAATTGGAGCCTTAGACTGTAAATTCTTTGGGGCAAGGCCACTTTATTGATTTGTATGATCTAGTACTATGTGGCCCTGTTTGGGGCCTTGGGGGAATGCTACTGTAATAGAAATAATGAATGATAAACTCCCATTGACTTAAATAGGAACAGGATTGTTTGTTTCTGTCATTTTGGATGTAAATTTTCACAGTAATCAAATAGACTGCAACAGTCCGCTATAAGTCTTTGGGAGCTTTTAAATCATCACTTCTACTGAATAAAAGTAACAAGAAAATGTGGCATTTAAGCAGTTTTATGAATATGTTTTGGTTTAGGACAGTTATATCAGCTGCTTAAGAACATTATTCATGTAAATGAGCTTGCTATGAAATGCATTGTTACTCTACCCAGTTTCTTTTCAACAAGATAACTACATGTTCTGTCTAACTTGGGCACTTACAAGGCACCTATCACTTAACTATTTAGGCGCCTGCACATTCAAATGATCAGAATAACATGCTTTTTATACATTTCAGTAGAATTGCAGCAAAATTGCTTTGATACATAAGCTTTAATAGTTTAAGATTTTTTTTTAAAAAGGACAAATATTGCACCATTTCCAGTAGAAGATATATGTTTATAGGCTGATGTCCGAGAGTTTGAAAATAAGCACCATTGTTGTGCTATATATACAGATTTTAATGTGTTCAGGAATCCCTACAAGGAGAACATGAAATGATTAATCATTTTACACTTAATTTTATAAAATAAACATGAAAGGAAAGAATTAACTGTATTAAACAATTCCACTTTGTCTCAAAGTTGTTTATATTATTAGTCTGGGATTTTATTTATGTCTATCCTACATGCTATGTAAAACACAGACAAAACAAGTATCAGCATGGAAATATTAACATTTCCCACTAATCTTAGAAGGGCAAAGATGTTAAAATTATTGATTTATATTCTGGTTTATGTAGTTGAAAGAGACAGATCGAGTCTGAGATGACTTGTGTTGTACATACCAAGGAAGAAATACATCAGCTTCACTTAAGTTACTGCTAATACTCAACTACATTTCAGTGAAGTTACATTACTGCCAGAACAAGGTATTGATCTGTAGGCATGTACTAAGGCAAAATGCCTACTGGCGCCAGCTCAAATTCTGGCTCCAGCAGCATCTGTGGCATATAGCCCACGGGAGTAGCAAAGCTTGTCTGTGGCACATAGCCCACAGGAATTGCCTTGGCTCTATAGCTGCACATGCCTGCACCCAATCCCTTTGCTCACTGTATACACGTTATCAGACCAAATGCCTCCTAGCACTTGAGGATGGGGATTATGGAGGACACAGTCCCCTTGCAATTCTCACACACGCCCTGTGTATTAAAAAAAAGTTATGGGGACCCAGTCCTGGTTCTCCCTCTTGCTCCCCCACCCAAGGAATAGATACAATGTTAGAGCTGGATAAAGTAGGGAAAGAAAGGGCCTGGAAATGTTTAGGGCTCTGCATTGGGGCAGCAAGAAAGCTCATTTAAACAAGTTCTGTGCTCCCTTCTTCCAGCAGCGCTGCATCCACATGGCCATGGATCTTTTCTCTCCCTCTTGAGCATCACGTCTACTGGTGCAGCTAGCTTTAGGCAGCCATAAAGGACATGTGTATCTCTTACTGCAGCATAAAGTGGGTTCACTGACTTCATTGGGAGTTTTACTTGAGTAAGTATTAGAGGATTAGACCCCCAATTTGTTAAGGGTTTGTAATAGAACTTGGTCCTGCATTCCTTACTTGTACATAACTCCCACAATAATCAATAGGCCAGATTCTGCTCTAAAGATATTCAATTCCCCATTGAAGCCAAGGTAAGTTTTGCTGTAGGTGAGGTCTGCAGAATCAATTATTAGGAAACTATTCTAGATTATTAAGTGGAATTATTGGCACACACTGTACTGCAGTGGTGGGCAACCTGTGGCCCGCGAGCCGCACGCAGCCTGTCTGGGTAATCTGCTGGTGGGCCGCGAGACAGTTTGTTTACATTGACCGTCTGCAGGCATGGTCACCCGCAGCTCCCAGTGGCCACGGTTCACCGTTCCCGGCCAATGGAAGCTGCAGGCGGCCATGCCTGCAGACGGTCAATGTAAACAATCTGTCTTGCAGCCCACCAGCGGATTACCCTGATAGGCCCCGTGCGGCCCATTGACCGCAGGTTGCCCACCACTACCATACTGTGTCTGCACTGTTTGGCAATGTGAACCCCAACGATTTGAAAGAAATAAAAAACACCTCAGTTTCAGAACAAATGTTAGTAATCACAATTATTTTAAAAATCACTTTTATGTAGAATTTCTGATTTCCTTATGTTTTAGTATATCTGTTCAGAACTCAATCCTAGCCATGTGTAGTCAAAACTCTCATTGACATCAGCTGGAGTTTCAGGTGGAGAGAGTATACAGATTTGGCTGCTTAATGTCATATACTAACTATTCTATTTTTCTGTTGTAAAACTGTCTTCTTTGTATCCTTTTTATTGTTCCACTTTTCAATTTAAATTTTAATTAGTTTTTTGGAAGTTTTTAAAACATGAATGTTTGCATCTAGCAAGTCAGTGCTGACTGGATTGTATCATTGCTCACTGTGGACCTGATCCTGCATTCATTGTAACCTAAAGCTCCACATGAACCCATTTGAAGCCAACAGAACTTGTGGGTATTCAGGGAATGCAGATCAGGCCATCAATAACATAAAGAGCCAAAATCTATGGGCCTGACTCAAGCAGAATTCCCATTGACTGCAACAGTAGTTTTGCCTGAGTCAGGACTGCATGATTAGGCCCAAACTCTATTAAAATTACAACTGGTATGTATTGCAGTACAAGACGATATTTTTTATTTTTGAAAATCTTGTGCAATAATACATATACAAATATAAAACATTTTACTTTTATATGGCACCAATGGGGTTAAAAGACGCATACTTGTAGCATAGACCCGAGAGAGAACTTGTGACAAAATGAATTACTAGCTTGCTGAAATCTAAAGTAAGCAAATACCATAAGTTGTTCCAGAGCAATTATATTAGTTTCATTGTAAATGTAAAATCAAATAGTATACAGAGTGCGTGTATATTTTCTTCACCAATCCTTTTAAATGTTACATACATCAGGGGTTCTCAACCTTTTTCTTTCTGAGTCCCCCCAACATGCTATAAAAACTCCATGGTCCACCTGTGCCACAACTGTTTTTCTGCATATAAAAACCAGGGCTGGCATTAAGGGGTAGCAAGCAGGAGCAGCTCCAGGCACCAGCGCAGCAAGTGCGTGCCTGGGGCAGCAAGCCTTGGGGGGCGGCATGCCGGTCGCTGTGAGGGCAGCAGTCAGGCTGCCTTCAGTGGCATGCCTGCGAGAGGTCCGCCAGTCCCGCGGCTTCGGCGGCAATTTGGCGGCGGGCACACCGAAGCCGCGGGACCGGCAGATCACCCGCAGAAATGCCGCTGAACCCCCGAAGGCCGCCTGACTGCTGTGCTTGGGGCGGCAAAAAACATAGAGCTGCCCCTGGTA